TCTGATACAAGATACAACCTATGCCTGAGCCTTGTTCTACTCACATTAACTGATATACCTACAGTAAGTCAACACCAAGAACACAAGTCCAAACAGCAACTTCTCCAGTTCCCTCTCAACAAGGGAACTATTTCCCAACCACAAATCTGAACCTGATAACAATATCTATGTAGTAATAAAAAAATACTAGTCTTTGAAGGAAACAAATTGCTATTCATACTGGATTTCAAGCATCGAGCTTGACTTTCAATGCCACAACTGGAAGTTTCCATGAACAGTACTGAAATAGCAGCCCAATAAAAAAATGCTTCCTAGATTAAGTAACCTGCATTGAATTGCTCCGGGGACAGCCCGAGCACACGCAACCAGACAAGATTTGAGCAGTAGGTTTAGTGCCATGCAACCATATACTGTAGATTCACATGAGAGGAAACTACTAGTAATTATCTTTTTAATAAGGAAGCCTTAGCAAAGGCAGTAACAACTGCAAGAGAAAGCCAATGCTTCTACAGCAGAAACACTGATTAAGAACCAAGTGTTCCTAAAGACAACACTGTATGAAATTTCAGTCAAGAGCAATGACAAAAACATTGAAGTTGGTTTATCAACATTTATTAAGTACAGTTCTTATTATCAGCTCAACAGAACATCAACATTCAAGAAATAGAAGTGGTTTAGTTTCAAAGATACACAGTGAGCAAAAAAAAATGTTCACAGTAGAGTTCTTCAGATAGGTCCCACACCCAGCCACCTCACTCTTTCCTAAATGTATTTCAAGAAAAAGATGGGCTTTACAGCAAAGGTAAATAAATTTGAGCTATTTTGGAGCATGAGGGAACAAACTCAAAAGCTCACCCTGCCAGACTGTCTCTTCCGTGCCATGGCTAAGTTTAAATAGTTTCACTGCTTTCAGCTGTGGCAGTAAAACATAGCAAGGTGGATTTTGAACAAACTGCAGGCTGGCTTTGAAAACAAAGAAAAAAAACCCCTATCATGTCAGGTATCTTAAAAACCTCTAATGAAAGGGTGTAAATGGCAAAGTGTGTGGTAATGATACAACTTCCAAATTCTTTAAGAGTTTTTTTACTTCTTGTTACCTGAGGCATGAAGTACTGAGGCTGGCAGTCTGGAGACATCTTTTCTAATCAAAGTCAGACAAAACACATTGATCAAAGCAGTTCAGTTATCAATTTCCAGGAAGATTAAGACTAGAATTCAAAGTTGCGATCTTCACAATCAAAATAACTGATTCAGAACATATGGAAAAGAGAGAAGTTTTAAATGAAGATTCAGTCCAATTTAATCTGGAATGACGTCTTCAAACCAGAAGTACTTAAACAAGAGTTTGGTAACTAGGTTGGACAGGTTGCTGTTAGCTTCTGCATGTCACTTAACACTGAAGAGTTTTTCTTAAGTTAAATTTATTAAGGCTTGCACAGGACTTCCTTTACTTTTGGTTCATGTTCTACCAAAAGCCTGGCAAGCCTCCCCCCTCTTAACTCCATCTGGAGGGCAATTCCTTTCTTATTGTTTTGTCAGGCTTCTCTGTAGAAACACAAGGTCAAATGGTACATTCTGCCAAGGCACTAGGCCTAAGCAAATTGCTGGATACCTTAATTAAAGATACTCAAACAAAATTAAATAATAAAATTAATCAACTAAATTAAAATACTCAAGTAATCAGAAGTATATATAGACCAAAATTCATTCCAGGCTGGCATCAGGCATGCGTGGCAAAATGCAGTTGCCCTCACCAAAATGCACAGGAGTGCAGAAGTCCTGGTCAAAAGCAATCACTCCAACCCCCCCAGGGGCTACACTGCAGTGAAGAGCACAGCTTTAGGCACTTCCCCACTGCCCCTTACGATGCACTCTAGGCCAAGCATTTTGTACAGTGTCAGGATAACAAATTCACCGCCCCTGCCACGCGATGCCCACGCAGCTAGAGAGGCTGGCAACCAAAACAGGAGTCCCACATTATCCCCGCTTCTCACTGCAATACAGCTTTGCCCAGACTACTGCCCTGTGAATAGCTTCATACCCCGTGATAAGAAGTTATCCTGTGATGAGTATCAGACCACAAACAGAAATTTCTTTGCTTAATATATTCTCAGCTATTTCCACTGAGAGAAAAAGTTTATAAACCCGTTTCTCTTAAGACAGCTTTATAAACATGTTTCTGTAGATTTACTGAGCACAGCATGCCTGAAGGTCAAAATTTGCTATCATGCCAATCCTTGCTGTTAGTAGCTCAGCATTTATCATTTATATCTGAGGACTCTTCTCCACGTTTAGTCCAATCACCTCAATGTACCCATAAAAGCTCCATCTCTGCAGAAGGCCAGGGATGTCACAGCACATGCTTTTTGATTCCCCGTGCATGTCACAAACACTGAGGCAAACCTGCTGCAGTCTTTCAGCTCTATGCACAGCACTTACAATAACCTGCCGCACCTTTTGAACTCTCTAACCTATTATTTGTTGTTTTTCCCTTTTTTTTTTTAACCACAAATGTCAGTGGTGACACTAGGCACTAATCAACTATCAACCATTTACAGCCTCCCGTTTCAAACACCACTTAGTTTCAACATACTGAAATTTCAAGCTTTTAGTCGCTTTGTTAATAATGACAAAGCCTTTTCATCTGTAGTAAGAACAAAACCATCTCTATTAATGTTTTTTAAAGAACCAGCATTTGCAGGCACAAAACCCCCAAACTTGTCTGTCCTAAGAATCAAACAGCACAAGGCAGAGGAACAGCAGAACAAGTTGTGTTTCATACGTAATTTAACACTCAAAACTCCAAGATTCAGTGAAATATTCCCTTTTATACTGCTAAACTGTCAAAAGCTTAGCACAAGGAGATACAGGATTTAAATTTTTTTTAATATGGTCACCAGTTACCTGGAAAGTCCAATTCTACATTCAGAAAAATCTGTTAATACTTTGAAGATCCTTAAAGTCACTCCAGTAACAAAGCCACTGAATTATCACTGGGATTAATTTTTTAGTGTGAATACGGTCTCTACAATTTTTAATAAGCCAAACTCATTCCATGAGACTATAATTCAATTTTAGAGATTACTTTTAACTGATTTAACATATTATTAGTTAATAATACATATGATATGATCTAAACAACGCTAGTTTTCCCCTTTGAACAACTGGCACACAGCTTGCATTTGTCAGCTCTCAGAACATACTACTTTTCCAGCCTGATGTACTCAGTTTCAGAAAAAAAACCATCCCTAAGTACTCAGTCCCCAATTTTTCCTGAGGATAAATAAAGAAATACTCATGCATTACACATCAGCTCACTGACATTGCTTATGAGGTGGACTGTGAATCTGAAGGAATACATAGAAAAGTCTAAAGAAATTATTAAGTAGTGTTTACAAAGTGATATAAAATAAGACACCAATAGCACAAACACCACCTTTAATCTGCCTATAAGAAGCATCAAATACACATAAGCTATGCTTTGTAAGGCCTAGCTTAGGCTAATGGCTATTTCTGATCATCTATCACTCAAATGTTTGAGTTCGCATTTGTCCAAACAATCACAGTAGTTTACTTCCCATTCTCATTCATTCATATCTCATGCTTCCAGACATGATTACTTGATGGAAGACAGCAGCTTGGTACAGATAGTCATGTTCTCCTGTCAAGTATAGGATGCCCAACAGACATCAAAAATACCCCCTTTGGTCCAGGATTCTTTTTTCCCCAGTTGTCTCCTTATTTTGAAACACTTCTGTCAGGGAAGCCTGCCCAGAAAGTTGCCTCAACAGAAAATAAAAAAAACACAGAATAATTGAGGTTGTAAGGAACCTGTGGAAATCACCCAGTCCAGCCCCCTGCTCAAAGCAGGTCTGACAGATCAGGTTGCTCAGGACTATGTCCAGGTGAGTCTTGGACAACCCTGAGAGCAGAGCCCCCACATCCTCTCCACAGTCACTACAGAGTCCCCTGACAACAAAAGGGGTTAAGCCTTAGAATGCAGCAATTTTAAACCCACCAATTTAGAAATGGGATAGATTCATTTAACCTAACAGTAAATATGTCTCCTCAAAAAATAACAGCTGTCTACTAAACAAGAACCTCACTGGCATTAGGTCTTTCAGACAATGCCCTGAAAAGTCACAGGAGATCTGCATCAGGATGCAGCATGCCCTCACCGTCACCACAGGTCAGTGCTCTGGGAAGAGCTTTCATTGAAAAGGAAGCACAGTGTTAGGTCACAACCAAGCTGTCTGACACAGTATCTGATAACAGAAATATTCAGACATTTTCCTGCCAGCCATTTTCATGTTTGCTATAGCCCAAACTCCAAAGAACTCCCGTCACAGGGTAGAAACCTGCCCTGAATACAGCCGATGTGCACACAGCTTGCTCACCTTCCAGTGTCAGCACTGTCAAACCTCCCATCACATCGGCACTGACACTGTCAAACCTTTCTTTTTCTTGCAAGAAACTCTTTTTTAAAAAATGTTTTCTGCTTTATGAAGTTTTCTCTTTCTGCATGTATGCTCCTACACCGAGATACACATCAAGATAACTTCTCTCAAAACAGTTTATGCTTCTATCTAGACACAAACAGGAAATGTGCAGTATGTTCACACACTACCTTACATCTGTAATTTATGCACACTTACAGTAGGCTTTAACCAGCTACTTTAGATTTGACATCGACCACTTAATTTCCTTGGTCATTTTTAAAGCTACCCATCCACACCCCTTTTGGGCAATAAAAATTCAGTTCTGAATTGCATATCCCACCCAAATGGATAATCCTCATGTTTGTGTCAGTTAAAAACCCTTGACAGAATGAGGCCAAAATCTAAAAGGTCATTTCTACCCTGAAAGCTATTTCTGCAGATCACAATAACCGAAAGTGTCTTGTACTGCAGCTCTCTCCACAGTTTACAAAGTACAAAAATCACATTTCCTATAATAAGAATTAAAAAAATCAAAATACTGTGATAAAACATCTGAGTTACCTCCCAGAAGCTATCACTAGAAACTTCTACTCCAACGGAATCATCGTATGAGCCAGACATTTCTATGTATGAAGAGCTTGTATGTATTCAGAGCTTAAACACCTTCAGAATCTGTAAAAAGATACAAAAAAAAATATTTATGAGCATTATTAATGAAAAAGTTATCAAAAGAGAAATTAAGTCAGATAGCATCCTTTAATTCTTTCATATCTAGGGATGCCAAATAAAACCAAGAGGTAACCAAACAAGGCACATAAACAAGCACATTTCACAACAGAACACTATTCGACCACCAAGTTCTTGGCTCTCATCATGCCATTTGTTGTACAGAAAGTGTTCAATCCATCTGCTTATATCAAGTTTCACTGAACTCGAATTTATTTTATCATAAAACTTGCCATTACAACCAAAAGAAAAGACTGAGCGGCGTGACACTTAGTCAGTATTCCACTTCAAAGCATTCCATAAGAGACAACCAGCCGACCTCTGCTACTGGTACGATGACCTGCACTGCTTCCTTTTGCACTGGAAACTTTTATCATATAATGAGACCCATGGAAATATTTAAGGCCAAAAACCACTCGCTGATTTAAAGAAAAATATATAAATCTTCTTTTCAGAAGGAAGAAGTTTTACTTCTGTATAAATTTTACATTCAAATTATCTACTCAAAAGGTAAGGCATCCACAAATGCAAACCAGCTTCCTCAGCAACAGTGGGAAGCAAAACCAAGAGCAGCAGCACTACAGTGCAAGTCAAACCCGGGGGCGCGCGCAGCCTCCCTCCCCACCGTCTCCGCACAGCCTGTGATACTCAGACAGCCCCAGCTACCTCACCCAGCCACGGGTGACTAGATCCCTGACAGGGCTAGTAACTACCTGGGCTACTTGCTATTTTCTTGCCACCACTTGTGTATTTTAAAGCAGATAATAGATTCCAAACGATGGTATGATGCACTTATCTACTATTCAACATGTACCACGTAAAAGGTTACAGGCTCTGGACAGAAGGTGTCTTGAAGCTGACCATTACTTCCCCTAGAAGTTGAAACTCCCACACCTAGTTGCACTACATTTTATTTGTAACATGTTACCATACTACTTCATAGCTTCCTTTTAGCAAAACAAACAGGACAAAAACCCAACTCCAGATTCTGATCTTCATGAGAAGCCATTACTGTGACAATTCAGGTACTCGCTCATACAGACACCGCTGCATGGAAAAACCCAGGAGCTATCCTCGTTGAAGGAGATATCCGTTTCTAAAGCACTGTATAAAAAAAAAAAAGTTTAGGATTATCCTAAGCTAACATTTAAGTATCAAAATCAGACTGAGGCAAAAATTCAGGCACTTGGATCCACAAATGCAGTTTGTGGGGTGGAGACCCAGAGGTAGGAGAGGACGAAACAGCCCCCTCCCACAACGCACGCACACGGATCCCTGCCTGATCTCTACAGACACCTCACCCAGTCCTCCTGTTCAGACTTCTCCTACCAAGTTTGTCTACAAGTACTACCAGGGCTCCACAGGGGTGAAGAGCCCGCACCACCCTTGTGGGATGAACACCTTTACCAGTAGATTCTAAGGTGAGGGTCCCCCCCCATGAGCCCTGCTGCCCCCGATGCCGTAGGACCACTCCAGAGGAGCAGTGGGAAGTGCCCACACTCTGGCCCACCCAACCTGGGGTTATGGCACACTGCTGGGAGGAACCCCACTGAAAGCTGCCAGGGAGAATCAACACTAAACCGGTGTTTCTTGGATACTCTGAAAAACAACTGTGCCATAAGGGCAGGCACACACCACTTGTTAGTAACAAAAACCAGCTACTGACCCACCGCAGCTGTTTGGACAGTTGGAGCACAAACAGAACAATACTGCTCTGCCTGGGAGGACAAGCTGTTTATCCTGAACAGCTTCTCATCCAGTTCATTTCCATAATCCAATTCACAGAAAGCTTTAGTAACCTTAACACTGAATACAGAACCGAAAACTACCACAGCAACACCAATTGTTGGATTTCCATTTTGAGAAGATAGCCAAGATACAGGAGGGGTTCTGCAAAATGGCAACACCTGGAAAGGAAGATGATGTGTTCAGACAAAATACTGTCACATGTTGGTGTAACAATCTTCAAGTATATGTGTTATTAGTAATTACAAAAACCCCACTTTTCCACCTGTGGTTTTATTGAACTAAGAGGGAAAAGTGCATTAAACCACCATCCAGTTGCCAGTTCCTTGGCAGCACACCTTTACAATGGACTTGCTCTTCCCAGATCAGTTTTGCATCTCTCTCAGTACATCAAGGTAAGCACAGATAACCTTTTATGTTTTCTGGCAGCCTTTCTTTGATAACCATAAGCAGCACAAGGAGGAAAGTTGCGACAAGTTAGACAAACTCAGAAGAATCATTTGACATCAAACAGCTTTTTCTAAAAGTTTGTTTTAAAGTTTTCACAAAAATCTAAGGCTATGCAGTGGTATCCTTAACCACAACTGCTGCTGTTATTTTATGAGAACAAAGGGAGACCTCGAGTTTAAAGACCACTTGTTAATCAATAAGCATTGCTACCCAGATTCTGTTAGCTGTGTCCTCCTGGCTTCTTCCCGCTCAGGCAGCACTAACACTCACATCCCTCTGAAACCAGGCAAGCCCGAGGCACGCGTGTGACCCTGGCGTGCCATGCAGAGCAAGGGAAGGAACAAGATTCCAGAGGTTCTCAGGAAGGGTTAGAGTTGTTTTTTTTATGGTACACCAAGATCTTTCAACCAAATGTTTACTGCCATTTGGAAGAGACCAGGCAGACAACTGCAGAGTTCAGCGTCTTGGAAAAAGAAACCCTTACGCAAAAGTGTAAACCTAAAGGAGAGCTTCAACAAGTCACCCATCCCACCCCCCCCAAACCACACCAGAATTATCTGTTCCCCTCTTATTACAAAAAGAGGAGACAGTGAAAGTGTTCTGAAGTAATAATACACTGTCTGCTTACCTTTAACAAAACAGCCTAAGCTATACCAGTGCTGGAAATTCAATCTGAAGAGCTACATGGAAAAATTGGAAAAAGTGAAACAGAGGAACATTTTCTTAAATGAGGGAACAGGTTGTGGGGACCTTTTTTTTAAAACTTTTATTCCTCCTCAACTAAAACTACATAATACACAGAGCTATCCTTTTTTTCCATAAAAGCATGAAAAATGATCAGCACTCAGGAAATTCTGATGGATTTAAGGTTTTTCTATGCCAAATACTATGCTGTGAGAAAGTATGAGCAAGCGTATTTAGGGAAATATTATGAAGTCATAGCAACAACTGGCACAGAAAAACACTATTTGTACAGCACTACTTAAAAATAAACTGAGTACTGAGATAGGAGCATTATGGTATGAGTCATGCTACCCTCACGAAATAGAATCATTACAGCAACCAGTCCTTTAGCACATTTTTTGTTAGGGTTTGGTCCTCCATCCTTCAAGTGAATTTGCAGAGGTTTCACAGTGAAAGTTCATTGCACTCTGATTTGCAGGGTCTTCCATTTCACTCTAAAGGGTGAACCTATGAACAGCTAAGGGTGTCAGTATAAAATCTGGGAAGTTTAGATTGAGACGATGAAAGAGAGGAGTTCTGCACAATCCCCCACCCATGATCGCCGGCATCTCCATGACGTTGGGGGTTCTCTGGGCAGTGAGACAGCAGCAGAACCAGTAACTCCTTCGGAAGGCACGGTGCACACACCTTGTTCCCACATTCCTACAGCACTTTGGCCTCATCCACTCTGGCCTTTATCTTCTCATTCCACCACTATGGGCCCAAGTCCTCAGGTGTACCTAAGCCGCTGCCTTCTTGTCCCTCAGCTACTTCCCAAGCAAGCAGGGTGCCGCAGTGCTCCAGCAGCTTCCACCCACCCTCACGCTGGCTGCTAAGCCAGCTCACCAAACAGGGCAGATGATTGCCAACCTCGCGTTAAGGTTTTCTTGAGCATGTACATCAGTTTAGGTTTCTCCCATCCAGCTGCCAATTTTCATGAAACTGATAAAAAACATGTTTCTTGATCTCTGTTCTTTAACATTTGTCTGAAACTGGCCAATTGATTCAAACACTATGGAAGGATGAAGTTAGAGAGGGGGAAGGTGTAAGCCTCATTTTCCTCAGAAGGCAGATTAAAGATCTTCACCAAAGAGAAACCACCTCTGGATCACACTGTGTCTTTTCCTCAACGTGCTCTTGGCCAACACAAATAGTATCTCATAACTTCCATATTTCTCAGGATATTTTCTTCCCCTGTGTCAAAGAACTGTGGAATTTCCATTAAGAAACAAAATCTCAATATTTTAATAATGATTAAGTCCAAGTTTTGAAACAAGTTTTTACCCATGTCACCGCAGGCACATAAACCACCAAATGTGAAGCCTTACCAGTTCAGAGCCCTTTGTCATAAAAAGCCCCAGCACACATTAGCCAAGAGAACTTACACAGGCTAAAAATAAACCACAAAGTCCAACTGAAAAAAGTAACTATATATTAAACAGTACATACTGTATAGCTACAGAAATGGTGCAAACAAGTAAGGCTTGTTTCTTGACAGTGATTTTTAAGCAGTTCTTGTAAGTTAGGATACACTGATTTTCAACACAAGGAAATGGACCAACAAACACACGAGACTTATTTCAAAGCTTCCCCTCCAGGAACATTCTAGCAACACTATATGCTAAAGAACTTTCTTTTCTACTGCTAGCGCCCTACAGTGCAAAAAGAATTGCTATAAATATCCTGAAGGCTTAACACATGAGGATTTTAGAAAATATTAACTTCAGATTGACCTTCAGGTACCACACAGAAGAATATCTGAATAGAATATGCTGCCTCTGCTCTCAAAAGCTGGTTTTGAGGCTGTTACCCTGAAAGCAATTTACAAAACCCCTTGCTTCATTCAGGTTGAAATATTAGATATTTTACTCCTTTTTCTTCATGTGTCAGGTGGTAGAGATTAGCACAACACAACTTGCAAAAAATCTATGCAATGAATGAAGACTTTTAAGATGCTAAAATAATCCAGTGAATTCCAAAGCTTTCTCTTAAGGTGTTTTCCAACAGTAAAAGGTAAAAAATGTTTAAAGAAACCCTTCAGTTTATCCCCCGAACCACCAATAACAAATTAATTTCTCTGATTAACTCTTACTCTGAAACAGATAGGGCTCTTTGCTGAAAAGTAAGATTTTAACATTCTGAACCCCCTTGGAGGATGCTTATTTTGATCAGCTACTTCACTATAGTTCAAAAAGATACCATTAAAAATGAAGCCAAAATCTAAGGAAGGTCTCAGTGCTGCTTACTGAATCCTATGATGGGAAAGAATCAATTCCAAGTCCGATATTCCAACACAAAGAATGCCTGCAGACAAAACGCTATTTCAGATTCTTGAACCCTGAAGGTAACAGCACACAGCCTTGTCCTGTAGACCCCATCAACATTTCCCAAAGTGTACAGTCCAGATGACAAACAGGAGACAGGACTCCTCGTGCCCTACTTTCAGAACTTCACAGTTTCTAGAACAGAAAGAACCGACAGAAGTTCTCAGTGTCAACACAACATAATACTTATCTCTTCCAGTTATCCTCTCATGTATGATAGGCTGCTTTAAGGGGAGGCAATTGTGGGTACTATGGCTCTTGGTGACAAAGTGGTCCACAACAGAGAAACTCTCAGAATCACTCAGCAGGGTCAGCCCAGGTTGCTCAGGGCTTTATACAGTCAATCACGTCTTGAACACCTCCAGGGATGGAGACTGCACAACCTATTTAACTGTCCTCAAGATGAGAGACAGAAGGAATTAATCCATATTTAGAAAACCAAATGGTTTCTTCAGCCATTAATATTCATCAAATCATAGGTTTAGGTTGGAACAGACCTTAAAGATCACGTAGTTCCATTCCACCCCCTGCCCCGGGCAGGGACACCTTCCACTAGCCTAGGTTGCACAAAGCCCCGTCCCACCTGGCCTTGAACCCTTCCAGGGAGGGGGCATCAACATTACCCTTACGTTTTTTTCTAAGGATTCTACAGAAGCAAGCTCAGACACAGTCTACCAGCCTCTAGAAAAGCACCTGGCCACATTACCTCTCAAATTTATTTTTGAAACAGGACTTGTCACTACAGACCTGACTCAGCCGGATTCCAAGATTTATGACTAGGGAGTTAAATACTTATGTGTAAGGACACCACTCAACTTGGATTAGCTGCTCATAAAAACTTTCAACTATAGTATTTTTTTCTTATTACTCACTGAAGTCTGAGGTTTTGTTCCACACAGAACAGCAAGAAAATGGAATTTCATTGTACAGAAAAAAAACATGTCCTATCTATGCTTTAAGTTCAAACCATTGTGGTTTGCTACTAAGTGTAGATACCATGAATATGCTGTACCTTGTATTTCCTAGTTAAATAAAGCAATTTAGGTATGGCTTTTCTGTTCTGTCCAAAGAGCTTGCTCTGTAAGAGTTCCCAGTTTCTTCAGGGTTGTAGTTTGTTAACATACAGAGAAAAAAGTGACATAACTTTAGCAATATTGTGAAATCATGTACCAAAACCTGATAAGAATCACAGCTCTCAACACTGAGAAGTGCATAAATTAATAGGACAAGTAACTCTGGGAAAAACATTTACTTTGGTTTACATGTTCAAATGACATCAAGGAATTCTAGCCCCTGTGAAGAAATGCATCAAACCACGGCTTTTCACTACTGCTCAGTGCTGTGAACTCTTCTAACTGCAATCAGTAGATACGACTGCACATTACTAACAGAGGTCAAGTCTTACTTTCAAAGGTAGGGTCTTGAATCAGTGAGTTTGGCCTAATTCTTATTCTTCAATCTACAAAATAGGGAGAATAGCACCCTCTTTCACAGAGATTTAAGAAAATCCCTTAGTCTCTGCCAAGAAAACAATTACAGCAACAAATACCAGAGAAAAGTCTGGAAAAGGAAATTGAATCACTGCTTCCTGGGGAGGTCAGCCTGTCCGTTGAGTTAGCAGAGGCACACACCAAACCGGTTTTCTGAAAGAAGTTGACAGCAACCCACTTGGTGAACCCCATATCCTGAGCACTGAAGGCAGGAATCGAGGAAATACACACCATCACAAACTGTGTGAGAGTATTTCCTATTATGTATGCTCCTCAGATGGAGAGCAACATTTATGCTTTTATTTTCTGCTTTGAGTATCTGAGTATATTGCCACCTAGACATTTCTGAGTTAGCATATGACATGACATTAAATAGTACAGAAGCTATTAATTCATGCTAGTGATTCATAACCATAAGAGTAACAAGAGATTCCCTGCACTTGTGTGGCCTGCAGGCAGCAGGAAAAGGAGCAAGCAGCATCCAGAAGCTGGTAGGAACTGGGCAGGAGGGCTGTGAGCCACCAGGGCAAGAGGGACAGCAGCGGGAGTCACTGGGCTTCAGCCCAGCCAGAGGAGAGCAGAAGGGGCTTCTGCAGGTGAGGGAGGGCTTCTGGGTCACACACACACCCCCAGCCCAGTCTGCCATCAGAAGCGGGTGTTAAACGCCCATTAAAGCCCCTGAGACAAGGCTACTGGGTTTGCAGCAGCTTCCTCCTTACTGGATTATATTCCCCCATACCCGTGTTTGTTAAGTGCTGTACATGCAACACGCAACGGAAAAACCCTGAAAGAAGCATTAATTCACTGCCTAAACAGGCAAGCAATGAGTACGTGTTCAAGCCATGGTTCTAGCACACGTCAGAAGATCACTAAAGCAGTTAAAGTCTCCTTGATATTTACCACATGTGAAAAAACCCCAGAACTATAGTGAGAAGACAGTATCTCAAACTCTCCAGGCACAGCATTGCTGTGCAAACAAAATTTTACAATGTATAAATTTCACAATGCATAACATAAGGAATAACAGCAGCTATTTTAATCATTACAATTTATTAAGCGCTGTTTGAGTATTTTATTAAATGAAACAAATTACCAAGTAAACTTGATCATCTCTGAATAACACAGCACAGAAACGCATCTCTGAAACGGGAGACAATGACCCAAACGCTGCCAAACAGACTCTTCCACTGCACATTGTGTTTCATATACATCCAAGTACCTCTCTCCCACTCTAGAGAGGACAGGCCCATGTTATGAGGCACTGTTTGTCTGGTTTTAGGGCAGAGCGCCAGCTCTCACCTCCCACCCTTCTTCCCCTCCATTTGCTATTAGACCTGCCGGGTTTTTGCAGATTCAGAACCCAGCCGTCCTTACAAGCTCCTACATGCTGCCAGCACAACCTCCTCTGCAGCTAACCTCTCTTTCCAACTAACCTGGAAGTGCCTTAAATAACAAAACACTGACTTTGGGGAGAAAAGTAATCTTTTATTCTCTGCTTGACAAGCCACTCTGTGTACATATATCATTTTAATTGAGCATTTCTTTGTTTTAACCTGTAAAGTTATTAATCACCTTTGCAGAGGTTTCTGATTTTAAGTTAAATGGACACTGACCACAGTAAATTATTAACACTGCAAACCACAAGCTTTAAACGGCACAGCTATACCAGCTCAGCATACAAAGTTGATGCACAGCTGTGTGTGGAGCTTTGAAATAACTGGATATACTTAAAACTTAATATACTCAGATTATACTTTTTGCTTAGTTGGAGGTATGAGGGATGATGGAGTAACCAGAATAAACCATGCAAGGAAAATATCCAGTTCTGCAGCTACAAACTGCACGGGCATTCACAACACCGCTTGAAGCTGGACAGCACTGTTAAAATGCTCCTGCTGCACGCCAACCCCATGTGTGACCTAGGGCATGCCAACGCTGAAAGGTTTTACTTTGAATCCAATTTCCTCAAATATGTCTCTGCATAGAGATCTCGGGTTTGGGGGCTATCAAAGCAAGAAATATAATTAGAAAGGACGTTAGATAGATTGCCTACACAACCTGGAAGTCTCTCTCCAACACCTTCTCTGATCATTTTGTGTCCTTCAGGATCTACTGCAAAAGCTAATCCTCACACTTTTAGAGCTCCTTTGAAACAAGCAGCATCAGAGAGCATTCTAGCTTTTACAGACTTGAAAAATCACGGTGTAAACTCACATGTGTACACAGTGTTAGAAAAGCGTGACAAATGCAACACAATAATTATGATTGTGTGTATACAGTTGCTACAAATTCTGTCAAGAGTGGGAATAATATGTAATACAAAATGGAGGTTCCATGAAATGTATTCCCATTACTTCCAAAAACTTCAGATATTCAAGATAAACTTTGATATTTGAATTTTGAAGTGGTAACACTTGTTTCTTCACACACAAAGTAACTCCAGTTCCAACTATATTTTACAACTCAATAGCATTAGTATTTACATCCAGAGACACCAAAAGACCACCACAGTTAATAATTCAAAAACATGTCTGCTGAAAAGCTACTGAAACTTTTTAAAAAAATACACCCTCAAGTCCTCAAAGGACAGAGATACTACTTAAAAAGTATTTTTCTGTTGTAGAGGTCAGCTTTGATTTTGTGTAAAAACCACCAAACACCAATGCCAAGCTATGACATGCATTTAAATTAACCTGCAAGGCAGCCATTACGGGTTCTGAGCAAATTTGTCTAGAGCATCTACCAGCCCAAAAGCTTCATTTTCTTCTAGAACTTTCCTCAGTAGTGCATGTGATGCATCTATGGCATAAAAGGAACTGTGCAATTAACATGCATTGGACAGACATTATCATTCATTTGACAGAGAATATGATTTAACCATTATTTAGCACTTGCTTTTTAGGCTAAAGCATTCAACATAGGCTTCTAAACTCCTGCATTACCATTAGAATTTTTAAAAATTCTTAAGATTAGGAGAAATCTAATCTCGCTACAGGAATTAGCTGGAGCCAAAGGCTCAGCTATTTAATTTCATCCAACTGGAGGATAAAAACACCTCATCTGTTTGTACACTATGCTGTAAAAATTAGTATTTTCAATTTAGAGTAGTTTTAAATATACTACACACAGTTGCATCTTGTTTCCTGGATGAACAGCACTTCTTGGCAAATTAATTCTCCCTATTGAAATCATTATTAGCAACATTTCCTTCAGGATTCTTCTGTAGAAGAAAAAGGCAAAAATAGTAACACATCTGAAGCTGAAATCAAGGTGACCTTGATGCAAGAAAAAAAAAAGCAGCTGCTAAATCACATGAAAATCCCCGGACCACAAGCATTACAGCTTTACTTCTATAAGTTGTAGATTACATCTCATTTCAAACTCATTGTATATTAATCCGTAACCACTGGAGACAACTGTTCCACAAAGCCCCTCTCAAGTTTTCAGACTGATTT